TATTACGGTAATCTCGCGGTGCGTTGCTCTTGGATCGGTCGTTGCTTGGATCAATTGTGTTGCACCGCCCGCGGGCAATAATAAATGGTGTCTGAACAAGGTTCGTTGAGCAGTGGGCCAAGATCCAGATATATTTGTCACAGGCTTACCGAAGTTTACCCAAGTTTATTATTTTTCCAATAATATAATTTAAATATTCATTTCCCGTCCTTTCCCGTTTCCGTTTCCGAGAATTCGAAAATCGAAATCGAAAACGATGTATTTCGAATATGGCAAGATTGGAATTTCGCCACGAAACAGTGCCAACCTAGTCCTGACCGATCGATATTTATCGCGTCAAATCAGACAGGTTCGATGGGAACAAGTCGAGTCGCTGGCTTTCGTTTTTTACTCGATCGGGAAATGGCCGACACAAAGAGCTCGTTGTGAACAAGGGATTGGTGAAATAATTAACGATTAAAGTGTCCACCACCGGATCGACCGTTCCATATTTTTATATAATCTTCTTCGAGCTACTTTACTTACACACTTTTATCAGTCGTTCTTTCTTTTCCAACGTTAAAAAAAAAAAAAACCTAACCTCCAAATAATCCTGCCACGATATCACAAGGAAAAAAAAAAACTCGATTCTGGCAATTTTTTGACAATTTCAACGATTCACGGATGTTCAAAGTACGAACGTAAGGTGGTTTACGTATCGCGCAGGTATTACGGCGCAGCATCGAGACAACGAACGTTATATCGCGAGTCCCCATTTTTTTCGCATCGTTTCTTCCTTTCCTCCCCGCCTCGACCTCCTTCCCCCTTTTCCCGCGCCGCAATTCCTCTCTTTTCTCTTCTTTCATCAGTATTACTATTATTATTTTTATCTCTCTTTTTCTTTCCCTCCCCTCCCCGCGCGATGCACATGATTATCGTTGTCGGAAACCGACAATCCATTGATGCACGACGTTGTCGACCTTTCCCCCCCCCCTTCCCTGTGGGCGATCCGCCTCTAACCTGTCCAACCGTGGTATATTCCATTCCAGTTTCACTCGTGTATCTCGCGACATTTGCTCGCTCACCGGCTCGCTCGAAATTCTTTTATCTTTGCCAATAATAATAATGTATCGGTACGTGCGAGAGCGAGTGCGAGTGTTTGGAACGAAGGAAAGGGAGAAGGAAAAAGAGATTGGCGAGGTAATTTGAAACGGCACGTTTTCCTTCCCCGCAAAACTCGCTCGTTACTTTTTATTCTACTGGCGAAAAAACACCAGGCGCGCGCACAACTCGGTCGGCATCGGCAACGTTGGTTACCGACCGAGCGCGGAACAAGTAGGACCGTTCGGAAGGAAAAGTGTGTTTTTGCACGGGTGAAAAATTATTACGTCGAATTCGATGCGTACGATCGAACGAACGATAATGAACAATATAATTGATTGGCAAAGAATGAGGAGAATATACAAGGGATAAAATTTCGAGAAATTTTTATCCCACGTTTCTTTCTCAACCAACTTCGCAACAATCGGAATCGATACCACGTATCGTGCACGTAACGTTCATCCTGTACGACACTCTACAGACGTGTGTAGTGGGTTATATTTGCCGCGGATGTCCCATTAATGGCCCATCCTCTCTCTCTTCCACGGTATCGGTATTAAATAATATTTAGAGAAAGGGAAGATGGGGAAGAGAGAGAGGGAGGAACCGAACCATCGACGATGGTTGAACGATAGGCGGCGGCTATAGAGGTCGACTGTGCGGAGATGGGGAGAAGGATGGTTTTAATAAGTGAGAGACGAACGCACAGTGGTGTTCGACGAACGTGACCTTGTAACGATAAAAAACAAGGGACCATGTATCCCGGAGAGTGATTCATGTCGCCGGCGAAACGCGAATGCTTTATGACGGAACACGGATTTCGACGCGTGTTCCGTACCGAGTAATGAATGTTTGCATTGTTTTCGCACCGACAGATGGACATTTCGGTTGGTTCATGGAAATATATAAAGAATGGCCGGTTACGCTGGGATACCTTCCTCCTCGCCGGGGGAGGGAAACGAACGTTCTAATCACACGATTGTAGGCGAATTCTTATGCAAATTCGGATTTTTACGAATAGATGAATCTAACCTGAAACCTGAGAGATATATGGCCGGGCGAGGATGTATCTTAGAGGTATACACTTTTCCTGCCATTTTAACCTGAAATGCGCAAAAGAAAACTTACGGTTATTCGTTATCGAAAAAAAAAATCGATCGATTATCCGTTAAATTCAATACGGGAGAGAATTCGGATTTTTGGAAAATACTTTTTGCTATTCTAACCTAAATTTGAAACTATTATCCTTCGAGGAATAAAATTCAAATGAACGAATTGGGGAAAATTTATACGAATTTTCAAAAGAAGATGAAAGGAAGAAAATTACGGTTAGAATTCGAATTAATTTATTCGAATTTTTAGGAGAGTTTCTCGTTCTATTCTAACCTCGAAAAAAAAAAATCGAAACGATCAAATTATCCTTCAATCAGTTTCCAGTGAATATAGCGGAAATTTAATTAAAATAGAAAATTCTCTTCTTTCGTTTCTTAACCTAATTGAGAAAAACCAGTTGGAAATAATTCTAACCTAGAAAAAAATCGAAACGATCAAATTATCCTTCGAATTCCTTATATGGCAAAGATTCGTAAACAATTAACACGGTTGGAATCGAGGAGAACGATCTTCCACGACGATTTTACCGATTTACCAACCCGTCGAAAGTGTAAATTACCTTTTGCGATAAATGCAGCGGTGCACAGAACGCGTACCCGATCTCTCTTGCACACCTCCCCTTCTCCCCCGTTTCCTTTCGTATCCCCTCGCCCCTCCTTCCTCCTTCCTTTCCGGGTCCCTGGAACCCTTTATGTATCGCACCCTTGCCTAGAAGTCATCCCCAGTTTCCTACTCCCAACAGCTATTAGTCCAAACAATATGGCTGCCAAACGCAGCGAACAATCGATAGCGAGCGAGCTGGTGGGCGCCAACTGGCTGTATAATCGAATTAAGACTATTAAACGCGAAATCGAACGTCATCTTCCAACTGTTTTGCGTGACGCACGTACAACACGTCGCGCGATCGATCTTTGTCCCACAGATTATGGCAAACCCATTGCTTTTTCTCTCCAAATGGGCCCCAAATCGAATTATTAATTGCGTCGTCGTTCTCTTGGAATATTCTCTAAGAGAGAATAAATAATTCTCTCTTAAAACGTGTGATTCAATTCCTGTGATCCGTGTCGATTACGAATCGATTTCATTTCTCGTAGATAAAGTAGAATTTAATAAATTAAACGCTTCGAGGCGTAAATTGATTCGTTGGACAAACGAACGAACGTTTTTTGTATCATCGTAGTAGAACGTTCGCGTTATTGGGCAGGGAGAAACACCTTTGTTGCAGTTCGGTCTCGGCACGTGGCAACGTCGGCGGAACAGCCTGTTGCGCAGTATCCCTATAACGCTCGGAACATCTAAATTTGTAAACACACTTAAAATATCCTCCTCCTGTATCCTAGCGACTGTTCAAGCCATTTCTTTTAACGAACATACATACATACAATGTGTACGTACATCGAGTCGTAAAGATACCTGTATGTTATCGTAAAAAAAGAAGAAAAAAAAAATTCTAGAAATTGGGAATGGAAAGCTCACGACGTCACCAACGCATGTGCTACCTCGATAATTAATTAATTAATTAATTAATTCTTTCTTTCTTTCTTTCTTTCTTTCTTTCTTTCTTTCTAGCTTTTATATTTATATAGAGGGATGCGACCTCCGGTTGTTATACGTATTCCATTTTCTTTTTTTTTTTTTTCCACGATGAAGTTAGGCCAAGTAGAAGTACCATTGACACCCCTTGTATTAGACAGCCGAAAAAAAAATAGTTAAAACTGACAGGTTGATGAGGTTAGTGATTCGGCAGAACAGATTATTGGCAGTGCGAGGCAGAAAAGAATTCGTAGGAGATTCAAACGGGCAAATTGTCATTGTAGGCGAAGCCGAAACGAGCCATCGTCGATATTTGTTTACTTATTTTTTTTTTTTTTTTTTTTCTCCTCTCTCTGGAGCGAACAGTCATCATCAACGGGTCGAGGCCATCTCGAAGATAACGACGAGAGAGCAACAACACGATATCGCCGGGACACGTTGATGATTCGATCGTTCCCAAACGATCGAAGAACAAAACGGAAGCGATCGATTAAATAACTCCTTTCAACCATCCTCTTTTTAATCTTCCAAATTCTTCTTCGATCGATCCGAGATCCGGATCAGCCAAAAAGCAATCGTACACCAAAAAAAAAAAAAAAAGTTACTTCGTTTACTTATCTATCCATCTTCTCCTCTTCCCCCTCCTCCCCTCCCCCTCCACCCTCCACCCTCCCTCTCTCTCTCTCGATCGAATCCTCTTCTTCGAAACAGAGACTTCCAAAGCAGTAACACTCAGAAGAGAGAGAGAGAGAGAGCGAGAGCGAGAGAAGAGAGAAAAGAAGACGAAGACGAAGAAGAAGAAGAAGAAGAACATAGTGGCGGGAGAAGTGGAGAGAGAGAGAGAGAGAGAGAGAGAGAGAGAGAGAGAGAGAGAGAGAGAGAGA